AAAAATATGAGTTTTGGCTCTGGGAAGATTCGAACCTATGTTAGTTGCTTGCCCCTTTCTAGGGAAGGTGTGATGCGGGTTTAGTCCCACCTCGCTTGTGCGCCGAAGTTTCGGGTGAATATATAGTAATGTTACATTTGAAAGCAAGTCCCTTTCTTGTGCATGTACAACTACTCTTGGCCCCACAACTAGTTGGCCACTAGTGACGTGGTTTGAATGAAAGCCTTTGTTAAAAAATGACATTTTGAAATGTAAGTGATGTAGGATGAGGTGAGAACCCTTGTACTTGATCAATGAAACTTAAGACTCAAGATGAGGCAGTCGGACCAATCTGATAAGAATGTGTGGACCCTAGAGTCTAGGTCTGACCACGTAACCTAAGTATAGGTAGGCATACCAATATGCACAATCAACCTAGGACAACTCAGGGAAACACTCGACGATGGTAAGTGTGAGGCCCTCTCGGTCCACATCTGAATAGACAGCGGAACGGTCATCGTGAAGTAGCCTAAGGGCTGCAGCTCACGAATGGTGACAAATCTGGCACAGCATCAGAAGTCACGATTCGATAACAATCCTATCTTGTCTACATTCTCCTGATGGTGGTGGAGATGAGCCGAGGAAACCCTTTGAAAGATAATTAAACTTAGGAAGAAGGGGAACGGAGCTAACCTTTGGGGCTACGTAGCCCGGCAAGTCGTGACGGAGTGGAGACTCAACGTAGTAGAGACGTCTAGGGAAGAACAATACTCGGCGTCAACGGTCGGTCCTGGTCGAGAAGTCGCAATAGTCGTCATCGTAGAGCGTGGCACGGTCGGCGCAGGCGTGGGCCCGTTGGTGGGCCAAAGGGCCTGCTAGCGGGCGTGGGCCCGCTGGCAGGCCGAAGGGCATACTAGCGGGTGCACGTGGCAAGCTGCACGACGGCCTTAGGGCACGCGGGTGGCAGTGCCGGGTGGGCACGCGGGGCACGCGCGGCGGCTGCACTTCGGCGGGAATGCCGAGTGTCAGCGATGCTTCGGCGAGAAGGTCGAGTGTCAGCGGCGCTTCGGCAGGAAGGCCGAGCATCAGCGACGCTTCGTTGGGAAGGCCGAGCGTCAGCGGCGCTTCGACGGGAATGCCGAATGTTGGTGGTTGGGCGGCAAACCAGCCGTCGCCGGAAGGATCGGCCTTCTCTGACGGCACCGGGAAGCGGAGCAGCAGAATGAGGCGATCCGGCCGACGATACTAGGGAGGGTTGACCCCTCTTGGTCTAGGTGGTGCTAGAAATGGCGCGACAGCGTCGGATCATCGGGAAACTCCTTCAGGGGGCCTGTGAGGAGCTTGGACTAGACTTGGCTCGTTGGCACGACTGTAGAGTCTCTCCCGACGTCGGCGACAGGTAGGCATCCGTTGGCGAACAGCCAGCGACTAGGCGGAGCAACGAATGGTGGCTCCGGTGAGTTTATGGTGGAGTTCCGGAGGAAGAGGTGGCAGTTGAACCAGGAGTCGAGAGACTCCGGCGGAGTGCTCGGTGACGGCTCGCAGGGAGGCGATGTGAGCCTCTTTCGTCACGACGGCGTGACGGGGTTCCAGCAGAGGCGGCGGCGGCTGCAGCGGCAACTGCGACCGTTTTGTCCGGTGACGGCGACGAACTCTTGGGCGGCAATGAGATGGCCGGTGGCGACAATGGTCTCTGGCAGTAGCAGAACTTCTCGGGCAGCAACATCACGAGGAACAAAGTCCTCAAAGGGGGTATCGACGGCCTTCCTCTCCCTCCTTCCCTCCATATCCTAGGTCACAGAGAAGGTACTCACAAAATGATAATCTCTCTCAAAAGTATGGCACTCTCCTGAGGGAGGGTCCTACCTCCCTTTATATGGGGCCCACAAGTGGGCTAAGGGGAGGTGAGCCCACTTGAGGCCCTCAAGCCCATAAGCCACAAAAGGCTACAAAAGGGGCTTATTGGGCCTCTAAAAGAGAGACCCAACAAGCTCCCCTAAAAGGAGAAAGATGAGGGCCCTCGTAGGTGCTTAAGTGGGCCTCAAATGAAGACCCAAATAAGCCCCAAAAGAAGTCCAAAAGGAAAAAAGCATAGGTCCCCCCCTTAGGATTTAGTTGGACCTCAAAAGAGAGACCCAATAAAACCCTAAAGAAAGTGAGACACAAACAACAACACACACACATAGAATTAGGCCTGCTAACACACAAATGCGAGGTCTAACAAGTCAACGTGAAAACACAAAGAAAGATAATGGTGAGCTCGAGCTCATCGTCATTGCAGAGGTGGAATGTCGTCGTCTCGAAGGCTAAACTGTGTAGTGAAAGCTAGGCTCCTTCGTCTTCGCGCTACAATCGGGTTGAACTCGGACTGCCGGTGTCTCTTGAGTTGATGGAGATGAGTCCCACTCACCATAAGTAAGGAACATTGAAATCAAATAAATACAATAGCCAACTTTATAGCTAAGATAACTAATTTATATATCTCCTCCTAGTTTACTTTCTTAAAAGGTAAAGCTAAGTTGGAATGAAAAGATAGTAACACAAGTTTTGTGAATAGTTTAGAAAAAAAGTGGTTAGAAAACTAAACTAATCTAATATTTACATATTGATCAAATCAAATTTAATATTTACATAAGAATAAATAATATTAGAACAACTCATGAAGCTCATTTTCAATCAATATGTAAATATTAATATTTCTAATATTTAGCGCTTCCTCTCCTTTAGTTGCTTCACTTTATTGACTTCCACTATCAAACTCCCATCTTGACAAAGCTTTTATCTCCTGAACCCAAGATAGATTGGGAAATGTCAAGTGCAACACAAGGATACCTATGGCAATCTCATCAAGGTTTCCAAACTAAGAATAACAGGTGATGTACTTATAATATTACAAATTAAAACTATAACAACGACAAGCTACTCTTGGTGATGTATTTTTGGCTTATCTTCAAAATCAATAGTTCAAGAAAGGGTTGTTGAACTCATATTATTTGAGAAAAAAACTACCTGAAAGACTGAGATTGGCTTACGTTTTCATTACTACCATCAAGAATATGATGATTTGTAATCCACTATTAGGGGCGGTCAATGTTTACCTATTAATGTTCAGATGAATGACATAATTTCTCAATGTTTAATATTATAATTAGCGTTGACCTTTTAATGTGTGGCCATTTCTTTGAAATGTGTCGACATGTAAATTTTATGCATAGTCTATTTGATATGTACAATCGGATATAGTTGTATATTTTTATTCTTTTTGACATGTAAATGTCAACATTAATATCTTTCTGTTATGTGTGAAAAACATGTTTGACTTTACGTACCTTCTTCCTCCGTCAGTGCCTTTTATCCCCGTTTTTTCCGTGCACGTGACCAAGAAAAAACAATCCTTGCCTATCTTTCGACTTTTTTAATTTTGGGAACGGCGCCTCCTTTAGTATTGAGATGTCGACATGTCGACAAGAAATAAAATACGTCAGTAAATAGTTCTCTCTCCTTCTGCCCCTGCAAGACGAGGCGTGTGTTCTCCTTTTCCGCCCGGCCTTCATTCTACCTGACGGAATCCCGCGGGCTCCGTCAGTGCCTGTTCCGATATCTCGCGGCCCATTTTGCGTCATCAACTTGCCTTCTTTTCACCCCTATTGCGCGGGTCAGAAAAGCCCTATAAATCTGCCGGCTGAGAAGTTTTTCTGAGGTGCGCGAGTCAGAAAGGCCTTAGGACTATAGTAAGCTATATATATACTTATTATTTTATAACTACACAGATTAATTAACTAAATAATCATTATGATTTTTACTTATGTTTTATAGAAGTTCATTAGGATACATTAATTGATACTTTTTTATTTTCTTTCTGGACTTTGTGTTATCATCATTGAATAAAATCACAAATTTACCTAATGAAATTTCAAACATGGGTAGCCCTTATATATTTATTCCTAGTGTTGAAAACTACATTCATTATTTTATGATATAAGTTGACATACTCATGTTTTCATTTCTTTATTGTTGATCAAAGTGAACTTATTAAAAAATTTAATTCTCCCTTTCCCTCCATCTCTCTCTCTCTCTCTCTCTCTCTCTCTCTCTCTCTCTCGCTATCTATCTATCTATCTATCTATCTATCTATCTCTGTCTCTCTCTCCCTCTCTCCGTAAATTATATTTTCTAATATTCTCATATTTCTTGTCAACTCCCCGTACTTCTCCTCCATTTCCATTTTTGTCGCTCCTTATCAATGGGTAGTGTCATAAGGCGTCTTGGCATTACCTTGCTTTTGTTTCTGGCATTGCTATGGGTTCTTTGACCATATCATCATAGAAAGAATGACATGAAACCTCTTTCACCATCCCTTACACATATGAACATAACATTATGTAAGGAGCTCTTTCCCTCGTTGATTTGTCAAACATTGTTGCTGAAATCAGTATCCACAATGCTTAATACTGTATTCTCTTGATATGAGGAAACTCGAGTAGGGAAAAGATATACAAATGGAGTTAGGCCACGGACTCCGTTTGACACGTTCGGCATACATTTTAGTCAATAAGGTGTCGACATTCTCCAAACGTCGAAATAAACGTTGACAACCTAATTATTAATTCTCCGTCCATTTCTGAGTGAAACATCCTTTCGTTGGTTAACCCTCTCTGACCTTTACTATAATAAACAATCTAGATAATGTCGGCATGGGAAAAATTAAAAAATTAAAAAAATCTCCGATGACGGTGACGGATTGCCGGGAGGAATAGCCACCACATGACTTTTCTTTCTTCCAAATTGACCCTAATAATTGACAACGAAGTCCCGTGGCAGCACCCCGCTGGCTGTACTGCAACCAGGCCTGATTCACGTCGTTTCTGTGACGAGAACTCCGCGCATCATGTCTCCTTGCCTTCTTCTCGCTTCGGCACAGTGGGTCAAACAAGGCTTATAAATCTTCCGCCGTGGAGAGGAACAGAGTAAGCTGAAAGGCAATCAAGTAGCGCATAGGGCCCTTGCTCCTGAGGACGAACATGCAGGATTACGGGAGGGACGAGACCCAGAGAAGGGAGGACCCGGAAGAGAATCACCCAATGCGGCTGCAGGAGAAGATCCCGCCGTGGACGCAGCAGCTGACGGTCCGGGGTATTGTGGCAAGCTTGATCATCGGTTCGGTCTACAGCGTGATCGTCATGAAGCTGAACCTCACCACCGGGCTTGTGCCCACGCTCAACGTCTCCGCGGCCCTCCTCGCCTTTGTCTTCCTCAAGTCCTGGACCAAACTCCTCCACAGAGCCGGAGTGGTATCCACCCCTTTCACCCGGCAGGAAGTCACGGTTGTCCAGACCTGCGCCGTCGCCTGCTACACCATCGCCGTGGGGGGTCAGAACTAAGACAATCTGAAATCGTCTAATTCTAAGTGCCGAAGTCGTCTGTGACACGTATTACTCGTAATGCAGCGGGGTTCGGTTCGTATCTACTGGGGCTCAACAGGAGGACCTACGAGCTAACAGGGGGAGCCGAGACGAAAGGGAACACGCCGGGAAGCTATAAAGAGCCCGCAATCGGCTGGATTACGGCCTTTCTCTTCGTCACTACCTTCGTCGGTCTCGCGATTCTCATCCCTCTGAGGAAGGTCAGCCGCCTTTCTCCACTATCCTCCGCTGTTCCTAAATTATTACCTCAAAGCATCCCTGAATAACGATTTGTGGATTTCGTTCCTGCAGATCTTGATCCTCGACGACAAGCTCACTTTTCCTAGCGGCACAGCCACCGCCGTCCTGATCAATGGCTTCTACACCGCTCACGGCGATAAGATGGCCAAGTACCGACAACATCCTCTTCGCTCTCCTAGCATAGCTTCTCTTCAACGGATGGCTCACCTACGATCGCTTTTTCCAGGAAGCAAGTGCGTGGATTCGCCAAGTTCTTCAGCGTGAGTTTCCTGTGGAGCTTCTTCCAGTGGTTCTTCGCGGGGGGAGACACATGCGGGTTCATTCAGTTCCCCACTTTCGGTCTGAAAGCTTGGAGGAACACGTATGTTCCTTTCTATTGTTTCAATCACCACGCTCTCTCTCTCTCTATCTATCTATCTATATATCCATCTCCATTTCTGTGGTTCTTTGACGACGATTAGAGTTTTGGGTTCCGCAGGTTTTTCTTCGATTTCAGCCTTACCTATGTCGGCGCCGGCATGCTGGTCTCCCACCTCGTGAACCTCTCCCTCCTCCTCGGAGCAGTCCTCTCATGGGGGATAATGTGGCCCTTCATAAGGAACCTCAAGGGGGAGTGGTATCCCGCTAAGCTGTCGGAGGGCAGCATGAAGAGCTTGACTGGTTATAAGGTGGGTGACATTTCGGGTCTTCGCTCGTCGCTTCAGTTTACCTCACGGCTCCCAGCATGGTTTTCACGGGGCCTTCTGTGCAGGTGTTCGTCTCCATCGCTCTGATTCTCGGGGACGGACTCTACAGTTTCGTCAAGGTTCTCGCTCGTACCTGCTGGACCATATATCACAACCGAAAGGGGAAGACGGTAAAAGTCGGTAAGAACCGAGGTTCATCAGCCCTATTTCCAAGTCTATATAGTCCGATCTCGAATGGTCCCAGTGAGCAATGATTTTGTCGACTCCTTGTACTCCGAGATGGCTACTGAACGCGAAAATTCTCCGTTCAGTGCCCAATCAAGAAGATCTCCCACTTGAAGAGGCCCAGAGGAACGAGATTTTCCTCAAGGACAGCATCCCCTCGTGGCTGGCTTTCGCCAGCTACGGCGTCTTCGGCGTTGGCTCTGTCATCGCCATCCCCCTGATGTTCTCGGAGATGAAGTGGTACTACGTCGTCATCGCCTACCTGCTCGCGCCGATCCTAGGCTACTGCAATGCCTACGGCACCGGCCTCACGGACATGAATATGGCGTACAACTATGGGAAGGCCGCCCTGTTTATCCTCGCCGCCGTCGCGGGAGAGAACAACGGCGTGGTCGCCGGGCTCATCGGCTGTGGGCTGATTAAGTCCGTCGTCTACATGGCCGCCGATCTGATGCACGACTTCAAGACGGGCTATCTCACCCTCACATCCCCGCGGTCGATGCTCCTCAGCCAGGCCGTCGGCACCGCCATGGGCTGCGTCGTCGCGCCGCTGAGCTTCTTCCTCTTCTACAAGGCATTCGACGTGGGCAATCCTAACGGCAACTTCAAGGCCCCCTACGCCCTCGTCTACCGTAACATGGCCATCCTTGGCGTGGAGGGCTTCTCGGCGCTGCCCCGCAACTGCCTGGAGCTCTGCTACGGATTCTTCGCCTTTGCCGTCTTGTCTAATATTGTCCGGGACCTCGCCCCGGAGAAGTACGGCAAGTGGATCCCCCTGCCTATGGTCATGGCGGTGCCTTTCCTGGTCGGCGCCAACTTCGCCATCGACATGTGCGTGGGAAGCGTGGTGGTATTGACCTGGAACTGGATCGACAGCAAGGCGGGTAAACTCATGGTCCCGGCGGTGGCCTCCGGGCTGATGTGCGGAGACGGGCTGTGGACTCTTCCTTCGGCTGTACTTGCCCTGGCCAAGATCAATCCCCCCATCTGCATGAAGTTTGTGAGCGCATGAAGGGAACTGCCAGTTTTCTTACGCATATCCAAAAGCATTCAGATCCTCGGTGTAATAACATCCATTGACGATACATGGACATAAGCATGCGTACGTCATCTGTTCTGTTCTTGTATGTTTAAGTTTCGATAGAGTATGATCTCGCTGTTAAGATCTTACCGAATTGATGGTGGTATGTGGGGAATGGTCAAACCTTGGTCCACAATTAGTATGCAGATCCAGCTCTATAAGGTTATTAGGGTATTATTCTCATTAGCCTGTATATAGTTTATCTAACCCCTAATAATTAAGGTGGGGCACCTCCCCTTATATATGCGTGTGAGATGTTTGTGTGTTTGAAATGATAGACGAGGGCTTGTATGACCATAAATGTAGGCTGGTGTCTCATTTCTTCTATCTATCTCTTGTGTTTCCATTCATTCATGTCATTGGAGGGAACTTTGACCTCATGAAAATTAGTTTTGAGGATATTCTAGTATCAAAGCCTCTAGTGTGAAGACACTCTACTATTGAGAACATCTATTCTTGGTGTGCTCACTGTGAGAGAATAAGTGGGATTTATGATTGTAAATAAAGAAAAACTCAAGATCGACAAGTTAAATAAAGAAAAACTCAAGATTGACATGTTGGATAGGATTTAGATAAGTAGGATTTATGCATGTGAGGTTTATGATTTATTTCACCTAAATCTTCATTCCAAGACCTTTATATTTTTATTATTGAGACTTACACATGGGATGATAACATCTTTACCTCACACAAGTATTTTGTTGTCGATATTTCCACAATATTTAATAATCATATCCATGACAAGAACTTGAAATAGAACAAGATATTTTCTCCAATCTATATCTTAGATAATTACTAAGATAATCTTAACTCTTAAATACCATTTCCTCCATCAATCTTTTATTTAATTTCCAATCATATATAAATTTCATGATTTCCTACTAATACCTAAAAATCATCAAAACCATCATAAGTTAATCCATAAACCAATAATATATTCATCTGTTTTTCATGTATCTCAAATAATCTTTGATTTAAATGTTGTTATATATTTTAGATTTTAGACCATAATTAGATAAAGAAGGAGGGTTGAACTAATGTGGTTCTAATTTGATTGTTGGTCAACCATCTTGAAAATCATAATTTGAAAAAAAAAGGGTTTTAAATTTAAATTACACTAGAATTTTTACAATGGTAGCCTCCTAACTATGTTCATTCTTGAAGAACACACTTGTTCTTAGGTTTTACTAGACCAATTGTGTTGAAACTATAGAAGTTCATGAAACACCATGCAGGGGGTGAATTAGGGTTTCTCAATTTTTACTTATTTATCATATTTAAGCCTATTTTGATAAATTTGTAGACATACGTACATTCCGAATGCACTTTATCTCTCTCACTAAGAACATCATACTTTTATATTAGTTCATCCTTTGTCCAGCTACTAGTATTTACTTATTCCTCTTAGGAATATACAACAATATTTATGAGATGAATCACCCAAATAACTCAAGTTCATTTCCTCAAATACCCCAACCCCTCTACGGTCAAATGTGGCTACTAGCACCACATGTCTTTACCTAATACACTCTCTTGTCACCACCCAATTATTTCAGGGTCAGATAGAGAGCAAAGGTCATTACGAACTAGCATTCTTTTTTGTCATTCATGCATACTGTATAAAGAACATGATATATAGCTTTGAATCTTTGTGTTCAATAAATTTTCTATACATAACTTATCTTCAATAATTTAGCCTTCGTCCTGCACTAGTTTTCATGTTTGATCTGATCTCGAATATCCAAAATCTCCATTAAAAAATCTTCTAATCAACAATAGTACCATTTGAACCTTTTAATCTTCTAATCTCTATTTTTGTGTGACTATTTTGTCCAAAATTTAATTGAATTTTCCTTTACATAGAACATTTGATCACTTTGGATTCAAATCATCAAGTTTACCTTGACCTTTTATTCATGTAAGCAATTGACATGTGACTGCCTAGATGCTCTCTTTGAAACTTGAACATCTTATTAATTTCTTATTATTATTATCATTTTCTTGATGACTTAATGTGTGTAATATATTAGTGAACCTACTGAACATCATTTCAATATATTGAATATTATACGATATAGTTAAATAATTATATCCTCAAAGAGAACATATTTCACATTTTTTGCATTAACATTTCTCATATAACCTTTATGGATTCTTTCATTTAATCTTTAATCCTCAAATATTCTTAAGGTAAAGATAACTTATTCTCAAGGATTAACACTTTTGATTTGATCATTAGTAATAAGATCATAAAATCATTTAATAAAGATAATTTACATAATAACTATGTTGAATGTATTTTATTTCTTAAATGATTATATAATTATTAGATTTTATCTAACTATATGAATCATTCAAGAAGACAATGAACATTCAAATTTGATTCTTGTTATCCTTTCACATTAGAAAACTAGCTAATTTTAGGAGACATTGTCACTTAAATCTGGTCATAGAGGATCTATGGTATGGGACAAGGAGGCTAGAAGAGGTTCCATTAAAGAGAACTACATGTTGGTCCTTAGAGTCACTTAAATTATAACTTTGAATGCTTAATATTTTAATGATTCTGCAATTTGAGGAGAATTAGGATTATTAATTACCTGTTAGGGTATTTAATTCAAAGAATCAAACAAGACTTCTCAAAAATAATTTGGACCACCAATATCTCACATGCAGGTGGTTTTCCTATGAATCTCACAAATTCTAAGAGCAAGGATTTTAAAAATTAATGACCAACTTCATGAGAAATTGAAAATGAATGCACCTTTGTAATAAAGGTTCTTAATTCTGAAATATTCTTATTTTGCTAGAATTCCTCGAGTCTTGTTAGAAATTTCCTCACATGATAGAAAGAATTATTGAAGGTCAATGTCGAGTAGTGTGATTCAAAAGAATGAGCCATTTGGGCCGAGTAACTAGGGTCAACGTAAATAATTGAATAAATAACTAGAATAGGGGGAGCAAATTGGGGCAACAGCGGGAGAGCCAATGGGGGAATAAATAGCTAATAAAAAAGGAAGTGGTTGGAGGGAGAAAAGGGGTGAATCGAGGGCATTGGTGAGAGAGAGAGAAGGGGGGGTTTAATGGCTACATTCAGAGAGATAAAGGAGAAGGTTTTGTGACAGGGTGGACAGTGAGGAGGTGGAAAGACAACAATGACAAGAGAGAAAAAAAGGTGGGCTGGCAACAGAGTAGATGGCAAGAAGGGGGAATGGCTCTAACAGTGGAAGAGAAAGAAAGGTGGGCTGGCAACATGGCAGACGATTAGGAGGTGGAACGGCAGCAATGGTAAGAGAGAGGAAAGAAAGAGTTGACAATGAGATGGAAGGACAACAAAGTGGGAGAAGAGAAAGAGAGTGGGGTCCCCCTAATCCAAGAGGGCAAGAAGAAGAAGATACTCTTAACCCAAGAGGTGAACAAGAGAGAAGAGGAACCCCTAATCCAAGAGGTGAGAGTGATAACAAGATCTTTCTTGATTCCAAATTCAACTTCAACTTTTCAAGTATTCATGAGTTTGAAGATTTATAGAAAGAGGGGAAGGTAGTTCAAGGCACCCCCTCCCAAATGATATCTAATGGTGTCTCTTGGAGGGAGAGGCACCCTCCATAGGGGAGAAGGGGCACATGGGTGACCAGGCCTCATTTCTTCCCTCTTCTTCCTCCTCATGGGTCCATCTAAGAGGATGAACCCTCATGTTGACTCCATCAATCTAATTAACTTGAATTTAGTTCTTGAGTTGTTGGCTTTTAAATGTTAACTAGCTACGAAGCCCATTCAACTTACATGATTTGTTAGGAAATGTTGATAATAATCTCAATATGGTATAGGGGTGAGAGGTGATCATTCAAAACTAATTGTACATTGCATATTGAATTTATAAAGAAATTAGATTTAAAAACCAAAAATTAAATTATAAATAAAATAGATTAAAAATTTCACCTATTTTTCTTCATCCTTCAACATTTAAACCCAAAATTAGTTTTAAATTTAAATGGTTGAAAACTAATGTGATATGACTTTTAAGAGTTAAGATATGCTATAAGAGAAACTAATACATATTATTATGAAACACTAATATATACATTCTAAGCTTAAAATAAAGATATAATATCAATAAAATAAAATTTTATTAGTAAACCTAAGAAATAAAGTAGTAATTTATCATTGAAATTCATAGACATGGCATTACTTGATCTCATAGTTGATATTTTGTGTATGTGTCATCATCAAAACATTATGTATGAAATATTTCAGTAAGATAAACTTTTGGAGTCTATTTTTGAGATAGTAGTTAATCTTAGGCAATTGGTTGTATTCAAAAGAACTAAATAATATACTCTTAAGGAGATATTATTTAGGATTTGGATGATAGCTTGCTAAAGTACTACAAAAAATTATCAATTATTGACGAAATAGATATTTTTTTTGTTCATAACCTTATTTTTATAATTAAAAATGAAATATCACTGAAAATTATCATCTGATATTTTTTCTTATTTATATGATTTATTTATAGCATTTAGACACTCGATATATTATCCAAATTAATCATATTATTTTTTATTGATTGATTATAATTTGATTAACAATAATCAAATCTAAGGTTTTTAGTCCATGAGATTTAGTTGTTTCCTTATCCTAAGATTCGTTGAGAATAAAAAAAATCATATGATATGAGTCAACACATGTGCCAACACATTCACAAAATTGATATATTTTGCTTAAATTATATATATAATGATCTCACAATAATTGATATAAAGTGAAGGTTTGTCTACTTTATATTTTTCATATGATATTAGACAGATTCTTCAAACTATCACATCAAATACTTATATGGACAAAAAAGAAGTAAAGACTTAATGATCTAGAATGTGTGTAGATAACAAACTTTCCTTCACTAAGTTAACCAACTTAGAGTCAAAATGGAA